CTTGTTGTTTTGCTATTGCTACATAGCTAACATTAGCATTAACGGCTGTTTACTGACCAGTCTTGAAGTTCAGCATCACACTTTATCCCTTCACTCACCAACATCTGCGTCCAGAGGTGGAAAGCAACACCAATGTTAACTCTTGTTTTTCCTTTTATTTCTATCGCTTCTTTTCTTCTACTAAAGTTAGCATGCTAACCAGCTAAAGCTAAGAAGTGGATTTGTTTTCATTGTATGATTTCATTTGTTTCCACAAACACCGGCCCTGGCTCGGCCACTTTTGTGTTTTCCATTATTGTAGCTTATTAGATTTCTGCTCAGCTGTGCTTGAGCAGCGACTCCTCAAGTCTGGTGGATTTTCAAAAGAAGAGATTCACCTGAAAATGCAAGAAACAATTTACAAAACAATGCAACAGATGTTGTTGGTCAATAAAAGAACTGAACTCACATCTGTCTGTACACCCTCACCTGTGGTTCTACATCCATGTGTCCTGCGTTAGCTTTTTGTCTTTTCACTGTGGTATGTGGAAACATTACGACGGCATCGTGCGTGTGTGTTTGCGTGTGCAGGCACATCCTTATGAACATTAACTCAAGAACAATATGCACCAGATTGTTGAATATTACAGGTGTAAGATGATCTGATTAGATAGTGGGAGACCTTGATGCATCAGTGTGCATATTAATGGAGACAAACCGAAAACACAAGACGGAGACAAGGACGACTTCTTAATGCTCCAATGTGCAGAGTTCAAACACATCGGCTTTGCTCTGTGAAGTCACTCATAATGACACAAAGTATTGGTGACACTTTTTACCACCTATTTAATATTCTCTTAAAAAAAACACTCAAAACTTCAACAGGAAAGAACATTTTAGAAAGTTTTCAAAGTAAAAGATATTTCATCGAGTAAAAGAAATCTTTGTGTACAGTCATTTTGTAACTTTATGTGTGTAAATATTAAGGAGGCAACTGCCAATTATTTCCATTATTGTTTAATCTGCTACTTGTTTTTTTTTTTTTGATTAATCTTTAGTTATTTAAGTGTAAAAAAACAAGAAGAGAGAAATGTCTTTCACAACCTCTCGGAGCCGCAGATGTCTTGTTTTATCCGAGCCACAGTCCAAAAAAACGAAAGAAAAAAAGCAACAACTCTCATTTGAGGATCTGGAACCAAAGAGTGTTTTTAGAATCATTTCACTTCTCTGATTTACAATAATTATTAAAATGATTAATTTAATATTCATAAGATTTTGTCTGATGAAGTAATTCTCCTCCAACCTTAATTACCAAAGAGGTCACTGGGTCTGAATCACAGGAGTGTCTCTCCCTGTGGCGCCAGGCTGCCCTTGGTTGTCACGGTTACAATAATAAACGTACGGATAAACAGTCATGGTTTGGTTAGGTAAAACTACTGGATTAGGTTTAGGAAAAGATTGTGATTTGGGTTAAAAATAAATACTTATTAGACGATCTTTGTTGGCATGGTTACAACAATAACAACGTCATGGATGATAGAAACAACATAAACAGCTGGTTTCACATGGGGAATCGACACTTTTCCCTTTCGCTCCTGTCGTAATGGCTACGACCGCTAGATGTCGCCTAGCAACAAAACGTAAATCATTTCAGCTCTGGTAAATATGGCATTCTCCCAGCTTTTATGAGCATGTAGATGGACTGAGCGTAAATGTATACACAGACACCCAGTGTTGCTTCCAGAACAGAGTCGTTTAGAAATGTGTGTAAATGCAAAAACTAACATATAGCATAGTGTTTCATCTGAGGAATGCCCTTAGTTGTTATGTTCAGTCAGCATCGAAACCGGACCTGCACGTTTGACCTTTTGAGGCTGTTTCCCCCGACAGCGTCATGTTTCGTGCACACATCAGATTTACTTTAACCCGAAAGCAGCTGTTCTGTTCGCACTGTTCTCAGAGTGTGTAGCTACGTTGCCTGTCACACCTTTTAGTCGCAGTGTGAAGACAAAGCTCTCCAGTCTGTCATTCTGAGATTCTGCTTCGCTCACTCTTTGTCTTGTACATTTTCCTGTCAACATTCCTGATCCTGCGCAAATTGCTGTTAGTGTCTGAGAGGCGAGGTGCTGGGCAGGAAGTGGCACAACTACAATAAACCCTGATTGTTTGAAGCAGATAGCTATTAGCCGGCAGAGAGTGGGAGCTATTATGGTGGAAATGAAGCATTGTTAAAGAAACATAAGACTTCCCTCAGCGGATGATAGCCTCCTGAAGGGGTCTCAGATTAGATCTCACAGGTGCACTTGGGAGGGGAGCGCTGATCATTACACTGGGAGAATTATAGCGGCTCATCAAATCTCCTCAGGAATGAATATTAAGTCTTATTACGAGGAGGAGGATAGGGAGGGAAGAAGCCACTGATGTGAGCAATTTAGCAGAATTGTTTGGATTGTACCATTTGGCGTTTTACAAGAGGTTTTCAGCACACCACTTGACACACAGTGGCGTAACAGCACTGATGAGCCGCTCCCCCCGTTGAAAGGAAAAATATGGCTTTAAATGATTGGAAGACTTTGCTTTATGGAGTGTGAGCGAACGTCCCGTCTCCGTCCAGAGGCATGAGACGGGTTCCCTTCAGCCTGAAGTACAGTGAAGCAGAGCAGCGAACAGGGAGAGATAAAGAGGGTGACTGAATTTCAGATTTATTCTGTGGCTATGAAGTTATACTTTCTGCTGTCAAAGCCGCTGCAGCTCAGAGAAATAAACCTTCAACTTCAAGACTGATAAGTCCGTGACACAGTGTGTGAGAACTGCTTTATTTAATATTTGAAATTCAACGGTTTCCTCTTTTCAGCACATACTGCATATTTACCGATAATGTCCATGGACACGAAGTTTAAATGGCTCATAGTTGAAATAAACGCTAAATTAACAGCAACAAAGTCTAGTAATTACAGCAGAACTCCAACAGAAAAGTGATTCTCTCCAGTTTTTCACAACTATTGAATTCAACATGAACCAGGAACATAATGGATTTTTGTACCGTGTAGTGCAATGTGCAATTCCACCACATCAGTTTTTAACATAAACTGTAAATAAAGATGGATGTAATGACGTCACACACAGGTTCCTGAAGAGCGGTTTTGAATCTCAGAGTGAGCTGCTGCACGGTCACCATCTTGGCAGTCAGTGACTCCACCTCTAACTCCCGGCTAATCCAGAAATGGGCGAAAAGGTGGAACAGAGACTTCAGTGCATGTCGGTTTGTGGGAAGCATACACTCACCCACCTGTCACTCAAAGAGGCCACGCCCTCAATTATAATCATAACTTTAGTCCTTAATAAAATGTAAACAGGTGAGTTATATAAACAGGTGTCATGAAGGAGGAAATTAGCTCCAGAGACCAAAACTGTTTCATGTACCAGGCTGTAAACATGTTTATTTCTGCTGTAAAGTTGGACATTTTAACATGGGAGTCTATGGGGACTGACTCACTGTTGGAGCCAGACTCTAGTGGCCACTAGAGGAACTGCACTTTCAATTACGATCCAATATTGGAACATTAAGGCCCTAAAATCCCAAAAGTGCTAATTTCGCTCATTTTAAATTCCTGTGATCACACACAGACTAAAGTACAATGTACATGATGAGGACCTTAAGGTCTCTTCTGCATTATTACATAATTCTGAACCCCTGTGTTGTAGGTGGCCCCAAGTCAGTTATTATACTCACTGCTGTATATCCCTTCACGATTCTGTGTTTAATCAAATCACCACAAACTATGTGACGCACAAAGACAGAGGAAGCAGGTTGTTTTCAGGAGAACTGTTTGGCTTCAGGAGCTCAAGGCAAAATATACTGAAGCCGTTATGTGTCATCGTTTCCCGCAGTGTTGTCTGCTGTGGGCTCTGTGCCTGACAGGTACTTAAAGGCAACACGATGTGCACATACATTCATGCACACGGGGGTGAAACAGAATAGACCTCAGTAAGTTAGACGGTCTCGCAGGAGGTCAGAAGCCTGAAGGAAATCGGCCCGTGACATTATCTTCGACCACAAAGCTCATACTGTCTCATCCAGGTGAGATAATGTCTCCTCATGGTGTGAAGAATGAACCCTGCTCACTTTCACACCTGCACACACCTGACTCATCACAGCACTTCTTTGTTTAAAGCCCCTCCCATAGTCAGTGGGCAGTTGGTTGCCATGGGTGAGTCGTTAGCTGATGCTGTTCACCTGGGCCTCCCACCTGTCCTCCCCCTTCTGACTGCCGACATCCATTTATTTTGGGATCGTCTTTTGTTTTTCCGCAGCACATATATCACTCGTGCACGCGCTGCTTTTTGTGTGGAAAGATGAAGCTCAGCCTTCAGGGAAATGTTGTGGTAATTTAACCTGGTTTGGTTTGTGTTGTGTTCCCCCCTGTGGCAGTCTGTCAGTTAGTATGTGGGCAGGGTCTCCTCACACCTTAACCTGGTCCTGACTGCTCCAGACATGGACTGTGATTGATTTATTGATTTTATTTGATGATGTAAATACAGTATAACTCTGCACTGCACATGTTGTTGCACATGGGTTATTTTACAGCAGAAAGAATTGAAATTGAAATATCTCATTTGACCTTAAAATGTAAGATATTTGTGATAAAAAATAAAATGTATTTTTCTTTTATAAAAGAATATTTTATGGCCCCTAAATGTAAAAGAAAAATACAAACATTGATCACCATATAAAGTCAGTAGAATAAAACTGCTGTGGCGCTTGATGTTTTCCATCCCTTTGGCCTTTGTGACACAGACTGCTTTCCTTGTTCTAGCTCCTCTTCTCCATCATTAACCAATTTAAATTTGGCAGAGTGTTAAATGTCTGTGGATGGAGAGGCTTGGAGCCGGAGCAGAGAAACAGGCGGGGAAAGTGAAGCCAGACATCTCTGCACCTGCAGGGCCCAGTGATCATCGAGTCTTTGGTGTGAATCAACATTTTTCCAACCACATCTATTATTCTCTCTCATCCTCCGCAGCCTCCGCCTCTGGGGATGCTCTATCCATCACCCCGGGGGGCCCTCCGGAGAACGGGGCCAGCTTGTTCTCCACCACCCAGGACACAGAGCGGAGGCTGCCCGTGGTCACCACGGCCCCGCCTCTCAACGTCCCGAACCACCACCCTATCTACAGAACCCCCCCCCAACGCCAGGCCTCGCTCGGCCCCCATGGTCAGCCCAACTACTTTGAAGACAGCGGAGGATCCAGCCCTCACCCCTCCTTCTCCCACTCTCTGGACCGCGCTGATAAAAGGGCTTCGGATGAGAACGCTGGCGGCTCTAACACGCATGTAACCCTCGTCACGCACCCCCCAGCGGCCACTTCTCACTCCAACACCCCCGTCCCAGCCACCAGGGCGGTTTCAAAAGACCCAGAACATGCTCCCATCATCCCCTCTGCTGCTGCTGTGAGGGAGAGAGACGCAGCGAGGCCGGATCAGCCTGGACTGAGGCAGAGTGTGAGGCCAGGAGGTGACGAAGAGGAGACCACCACCACCACCATCACCACCACCACCATCATCACCACCATGCAGAGTCCAGGTAAGAACACAGTCTCATTACGCTTCTTATATCATATATTCACTGAGCACTTTATTAGGAACACCTGTACACCTGCTTATTCATGCAATTATCCAACCAGCCAATCATGTCGCAGAAGTGGCTTTGACTGGGGCATGACTGTTAGTGTCAGACGGGCTGGTTCGTGTGTGTGTGTGTGTGTGTGTGTGTGTGTGTGTGTGTGTGTGTGTGCGTGTGCGTGCTGAGAAGTGAGCCAGTTGTGCTGTGACTGGAGGAGTCAGTGAAAACTGTTATTATCAGTATGAAATATGCAAAATAAAGTTTCATTTCACTGGAGGGACTCGTTCTAATATGAAGAACGTCGTCATTAAGTCATTTGTATTAGTTTATGAATGTAGATGAATCAAAACATAAATAATGCCCCTTAACAACAATATTATAATCTATATGAACATGTTCCAAATTAAAGGTCCTATATTTTCCTTTTTTCCTGTGTTTTATTTGAAGTGTTGATCCATAAGAAGATATATTTAAACCATCTCAGTGTAGTTTTACATCTCCTCTCTCAGGCTTCTCTCTGCAGCTCTAGTAACAACAGGTCGGTGAGCCAATCAGAAGAGAGGAGGCTCTGAGCCTCTCTTCTGATTGGGTTTCTGAGTGATCTAATAAAAATATAGCAGATTTCAGGTAAAAACACTCAGAGAAACCAAATCCTGCAAGGTTTGGATGGTGGGTCCAGGTGGGCGGGGCTTGGTGACTGCTTTGTTGTGACATCACAAAGTTCCAGAAGTCCTGACGGCTGGTTTTAAGGCTCAGTTTCTGAATACAGGCTGTGTGCATTTCTCTGTGGACTGAGGCTTTGATACTTTCACAGTATTAATATAGAAGCTAGACCTGATCAATAATCACACTACACATGGACATCTACCTTTATACTATATGGGACCTTTAATGTAAATGGTGGGACTACTTTTGTTTGTTAAAATGTAAAATTAATTATTTCAGCACTGATATACACTGTACATGATATTAATTACCTCTTTCGCAAAAATCTATTATTAATATTATATTAATTATTAATCACACAGATTCATCACAGCACTGACTGTATGTACACTATGTCCTTGTGCTTTCAAAAATGCCCCTCAGTGCTCCAGTAAATGTCCACATTTGTCAACCACCACAAGTTTGTAACATGGTCTTGTTGTCTTGAGTTTGATCTTAGATATCTCTACTATAATCATCAGGGTTATTTCTCATACTGGACATTATACATCTGTTCACAGGCTGAGTAACCATGACCACTATACTGATCTCCAGTCAGTGGAGTGGGCCCTTTACTTGCTGGTGTGTTACCAGTTTGTTGTTTGCTGTTGCAAACTCAGCATTTCCTCCATCTTTCCCTCTCGTCTCTATAATCTGCTGCGGGCGTGTACATGATGCTGATTTTGCGATGTTTGCTCTCTGCCCCCCCCCCCCTCCAACAACCCGTAAAAAAACAGCCCCAGATGTTATCTGTGCAAGCAGCTTACGACCTTTAGTTAGCTTTTGTTGTTGGGTGACCTCTGGCAGCGGTAGTAATTATGACGGGAGCAGAGAAGGAAGTCAGGTGATGTTGTATGTAGAGGGACAAAGTGTGAGGGAGGGGTTCAGGATGGACAGAACCCAGGACTCTGATACAGGAGGGTCATCATTTCTTCTTTTAACCACAACCGTGTAACCCCTTCAGTGCTGAGGCCACTCCTTCAGGTAAGGTCTTGCACAGCAGGGAGTTTCCACATACAACCTCTCTGCTCTTTTGTAGTAACCCATGCATATAGCTCCTGCTGCTGGTGGTTATTCATTTACCTTCATTACTTCAACCCATGTCTTCCCTCTCTCGTTTCCCTCACTATGATTTTTTCTTAGATTTTCTTGTGCATCTCGTCTCAGAGTTGAATCACCCTCGCTACGGTAAAAATACTTTTATTTACTTTGGGGGATCCTGTCCTGTCTCTTACTGTTGCGTGACGAATCTCCTCCTCATCACTACCATAACCTCGATGATGCCCAGGGACACTTTTCATCAACCACCCGCTGCCTCTACTCCACCACCAGCAGCATCTTGACCAAGCATCGACCGCCGAGGCTTAAAAAATGAAGCCAAACATTAAAGAACCAGAAGCTGCAGTTCCTCTTGTAGCCCTGTGAGAAAATTCATTCATTTTCTACCGCTTATCCTCTAGTAGGGTCGTGGGGGGGCTGGAGCCTATCCCAGCATCCTTTCGGGCGAGAGGCAGGGTACACCCTGGACAGGTCGCCAGTCCATCGCAGGGCACACAGAGACAAACAACCATTCACTCTCACATTCATACCTATGGTCAATTTGGAGTAACCAATCAGCCTAGTCCCCATTTACATGTCTTTGGACTGTGGGAGGAAGCCGGAGTACCCGGAGAGAACCCACACAAGCACGGGGAGAACATGCAAACTCCTGTGAGAAAATGAGGGGTTATATAAAGGTACTTTATAAAAGAGGAAAGACCTAATAATATAAGAAATTAAGTGGAATTAAGATTATTTTCATAACACTTAATAAGGTTGTTTTCACAATAATTAATAGAGACAAACAATATTAATAAATTAATGGAGATTTCAGTTAAAAAGAATAATTGCATTTTAAGTTCATTTTGAAGATAAATAGTTAAAGATCGCGAGATCTGCCTTTAGAGAATTCATGTGGCTTTGTTCTATTGTTTTATTGGTCGGTAGCCTGTTGGATTCACCTGCGATGATTGGAGGAGAATGCGGAAAAAGGAAGAAAAAGCGGGGACACAGCAGGAGGCAGCAGCTAAGCTAGCACCGAGAGGAGCACAATGTAATGTATCTCGAGTATTGAGAAAAATGATAAACACTACCGCGCTGTTCCTCGTTCACTGAGAGTTTATTGAGGCTAGTATCAGTGTGTGTGGGTGTCTGGTCAACGGGAAGTTAAAGGACAACTTGTCGGACGGAAGGAGGAAGACTTCGCCGTCGCGGTCGTCTGGTGCCCGCCGAAGATTTCTCCAGCTGAACTGTGAGTTTTTACCTGGCGGCACTTTGGGGGTGTGGAGCGGAGGATTTCTCCAGCTGAGAACAGAACAGCCTGGCTGTTTTACTGCGGGAAGAGCGGAGGATTTCTCCAGCTGAGCTGCGAGTCGGACTAGCTGCGCGGTTTTCCCGGGGAGGAGAGGACTTCTTCGTCTGAACTGTGAGCTGCTGTGTGGTTTCTCTCGTGGGAAGAGCGGATGTTCATCGGCCGCAACGCACCCGAGCATCAAACAGGCCTGCAACAGGGGTTTCTGTTAGCGTGCGTGTGCGTGTGTGGGCCCACGTTAGTGTATAGCATTTTCAGTTATTGAGTATTAAACCATTAAGGTGTTTGGTTATACATTTGTGATGAACAATTGAGGGGTATTTTTTGGTATTGCTCAGTAAAGTCCAGAGGTTATTATTTATTTCTTTTAAGGGGGGTATAAGATGTGTTTTGGAGACACTATATATTTAATTTTGTCTGTTTGTTTCATTTTAATTTAAAGGGTAAATATTTGTATTGCCGCAAAACCTTAAGTAAACTACATTTGTTTAATTTTATAACGTTGTCTGGTGTCGGTTAATAAGTTAGAACAAGTGTATTGGTTTGAATTATTTTTGAATATCAGTAACTGTAATATCAGATTACTTAAAATAGGTAAACCTTCGGGTAGCTACCTTAACACCAAACGAACCCAAAATCACCCCATTAGTCTAGGGTACAGTGGGGTGCTACACTCTAACGACCACTAGAGTCTGGCTCCAACAGTGAGTCAGTCCCCATAGACTCCCATGTTAAAATGTCCAACTTTACAGCAGAAATAAACATGTTTACAGCCTGGTACAAAAACAGTTTTTGGTCTCTAGAGCTAATTTCTTCCTTCATGACACCTGTTTATATAAATCACCTGTTTAAATTTTATTAAGGACTAAAGTTATGGAGAATTGAGGGCGTGGCCAATTTGAGTGACAGGTGGGTGAGCATATGCTTACAAACCAGCATGCACCAAAATCTCAGCCCCACACTCTTCACCTCTTTGCTCATTTTTTGGATTAGCTGGGAGTTAGGGGCGGTGTCAGACCCTGCCAAGATGGCGGCGGTGGAGCAGCTCACTCTGAGCTTCAAAAACCACTCTTCAGAAACCTGAGGGTGACGTCACGAAGGCTACGTTCATCTTTATTTACAGTCTATGATCTAGACTCGTGGGGATCCTCTCCTATCTCCTACCTTCACATGAACCTTAAAGCTGGAGTAGGTAATACTGGAGATGCTAGCATGAGTTAGCCAAATTGCCAAGCTGGTGGTAGGTTGACGGACAGGTAGGCCATCCAATCATTACAACTGTCACAGGAGGGCAGACTTTTTTCCGTTCATTGGTAGAGCATTTAATTTATTTATTGCTATCAGGATCTTAAGATGTTACCTACCCTGGCTTTAATGAAGACGCTTCACGTGAATGGAGTCTAATCGCCGACTATTGCTTAACTCCGATAAACTTTTGTTATTCACACTCCTCCTGATTGAACTGTGACACGGACGCTCATGCACAGTGCAGGATGAATGACAATGCCGCGGCTGCAGTAATAATGCTGGAGTGGACGGACACTCCCTGAGGTGAAGTGCAGCGGGGACACGGAGAGAATGTTCTTCTTCATAAGGAAGTACTTCAGCAAAAGTTTACTTTTCAGCTCAGAGAGAGAGAGGGAGGGAGGGAGAGAGAGAGAGAGGTGAAGGTGGAGGAACAGAAAACCCCAAAAGCCACCGGGAAATATTCTGTCCTCAGCTGTCACAGGCCTGAGCTGCTGCTTAAAAAGGCAGGAAACCCTCAAACAAACACAGTGTCTGTATGTGATTATGTCTGTACTCGCTCTGTATGTGAAATACTTTGTATACTGGTTTTCTCACCAGTCATCTGGATCATTTAAAGGCCCCACACAGTGTAAAGGTCTCTGTCCATGTGTAGTGTGATTATAGATCAGGTCTAGCTTCTATATTAATACTGTGAAAGTATCAAAGCCTCAGTCCACAGAGAAATGCACACAGCCTGTATTCAGAAACTGAGCCTTAAAACCAGCCGTCAGGACTTCTGGAACTTTGTGATGTCACAGCGTCAGCCACACCCACCTGTCTCTGAGTCCCTGAGTGTGTGCCTATGGGGGTTAACCCTTCCTTACCTCAGCTGCTCTACCTCACGGACCTACCAGTCTCTGTCAAACAGTCTTTATTGTAGATCAGCGTTTAGATTATAACTTAATAACGGACCAGACAGATGTGGAATTAATTTGTTTAGATAAGTTTAAAACAGTTTGACATAGTCGCAGCATCTGTGAATCATTTTACAGCAGCTTCTAATCTTGTGTTTCGAGTGTGGTTCAATCTCAACACATCTTCTGCCTCTCAGAGTTTAAACCCTACGTGTCTCATTACTGCCTGACTCCTGGGCTGGTGCTGAGCCACTTTCTGTCTCTTTCCCTCCTTCATCTTTTTCTTTAAATCTTAAATCAGTTGCATCTTCATCTCTCTCTCTCTCTCCATGTGTCTGTCTCCACTGCTGCATCCTGAGGTTCGCCCTTCAGTCGCTCTCTGAAAATTTAAAAAGCCTCCTCTTACAAACATCAGGCTGAGCTCAAACTTTGCAGGGTGTTTAGGATTAATAACATAATGTGGGCTGCTGTGGTCTTTACGATCTGCGTAGTGCGAGTGGATGGTGGGCTGGTTGTCACTCTGCGGCTGCAATGCTCCAGCAGAAAACATAATGATCATTAGAGCGACCAATATTAGACAGTTAAGGTTTGGGGAAGAGCAGCTTTTGGTGGTTTTTTGGTGTCACCTGGTCTTGGTGCTGGTTCGAGAAGATTTCATTGTTGCCACGAATAAAATCACGAGAGAAAAAAGCTGCAGCCGTAAACAGCTCCAGCAGTGCCACTTCAGCTTGTGCAGGCTTGTATTTTGTTGTAAATTATTAATGTGGAACCGTTAATGAATATGGACTATGAATGGAGTCCTGCTGGTGTGTGTGTGTGTGTACAGTGTGTGTATGTATGTGTGTGTCAGAATCATTCCCATGCTTCTCTGTTTGCCCCTGCAGTTCCCTGCCAGCTGAACCTGACTGGACCTGAGGGATACATCGAGGCTCCGCCACAGTCCAGCTCCGCCTTCCACTCCACTGTGGACTGCAGCTACATCATCACTGTCTACATGGGCTATGGAGTGGAGGTCCAGGTAAGAACCAGACGAACCTCGTTCTCCTGATGTTCTCCAGCACGCCCGATGTCACGGAAAAATTCCTACACATTAATACCTACTGCTAACCCCAGCTGTTGGATAACACACAGCCCAAATAATAAGCTAACCAATAACCAACCAATAATTAAACTAAATTCACCCCATACCTGTAAAATACGTATCAATACGCATTTGTAGTTTACAGAATAAGGTTCAAATTCAATGTATCACATATGATGTGTCTGATATAATGTGACAAAACCTAATATTATATAACTTCATATCTTATTTTAGGCTACTATTGCTTTGTTTACTTGTGTTGCTTCTTGGAGCCTGACCTTTATTTTGAAGGCGACATGGAAGCATACGATACACAACATGTAATGAATGTAACAAGTAATGAAATGGCCACCACCAAGAATAATACAAATCTGAAACAAAATCAGCCGAAAATATCTGAGAACTTGAAGTGACGTGTGAAAACAGAAAGCTGGACACAAAAACAGGGAAACCTTGGTGAGTCGCTAACGTCTGAACCAGTTAGTGTTGAATCGTTCTGTGTTTTATATCTGTGTTCGTGCAAATAAAAAGCAACAGTGTGTTAAGATTTGAAGAAAGGCTGAAAGTGTTTTCACACGGCGAGTGGTGGCCTCTGTTGTTTCCAATGTAAACATGTCAAGAGTTCATGCCGTTGCAGTTTGATGTGTAACCATGGCAACCACAGAAACTACAGAAGCTCGGTTTAGAGGTTCAGAGTTATCTGAATGACAGTTCCCTGATTAGTCTAGTAGTCTGATTATTTTTGCATAAGACAGTAAACAGTTTTTATGATACTGCTTCTAAAGACTTGACTGACCTTGTGTCGTGTTGCTAACTGTGTGATGAGATTCTGCTCGGTGGATTGTGGGCAGCAGCAGCAGCAGCAGCAGCGGTAGCCTGTGTTGTACACGCTGCTCGGGTTGGACCGGCGTCGTCCCTGTGCAGGAAATGGTTCTGGGCAAACTCTAACATTGTCCATTTGTGTCCAAATCATTGTCCCTGTTTAAACTGTTGAAATAGTGAGTGTGGTGTTGGCCCGTTTTCAGATGGATGGCTTCAATTAGCATTTAAATTTTTCATCAACAATGGTTCTCTAGCCGTCTGCGGGCCAGCGCTGATGAGATATACAGTTTACGTAGCAGCTGCTCTGACAGGAGAGCAGTTCACTGTTCACGTTTTAAAATACAGCTCCATTATATCTGCACTCCCTCCTGCTACATGTTTGGAATTTCTAAGAGGCTTTCAGCAGACAGACCTGAAACATGCTGTTATGTTCCCACCTATTCTCAAACAGCAGCTCATCTTCAGAAGATAAAAAGCCTCTGGTTTATTAGTTCGTTATGAAGTTGTTTAGATTAGCATCTGTCTGTCAGACACTTCATTTCATGAAGTTATAAGTGGATCAGTTATGAATACCCGTCTGCTTTCACATCGTACATGTTCGGTAGGTCGTGTCTTTGACTCTGGCTGTTGAGACACAACTCATCGGTCTTTGTATGAAACTCCACGGCCTTGGTTTATTTTCTGAGTAAAACATGGAAAAGAAAAAACATTCATTGAGTGCATATGCTTCATTGCCCCCTCACATATATATATATGTCCCTCATACGGTGTTCAGGTCAATTTGATCCAGAGACACACACACACACACACACACACACAAACACAAGGACAGGGAAAGAGAGGTATTTTTCAGGCCTGCTGTGTTTCATCAGCAGCGACTACGTTTCGTTCGTGTTTTTTGTTTCTATTTATTGTAAATTCTCTGTATTTGCAAATTATTTCTGACACGTTTTTGAGACGTATTTCACAACCAGCAACTAAAAACCATCAAAGTTTGGTTCTCGTTGTTTCTGTTGTTGTTTATCACCTGTATTTGATTTACCTGGCTTTGACTGTGTTAAGATAAGAAAATGAATTGACTATATATCAGTTCAAAAATAATTAACATCAACAAAAATATTGTTCCATTTCAGTTTTTCCAAGATAAACATGATAAATGCCTCCAAAGTCTATTATAGAGGATTTTTATTATAACTTAGTCACAAAAAAGACAAATGACACTTCCAATGCTAAATGTGATTATTACTCATATATGTTATCTTTATTTTTTGGAATTAAGCTAAAGATGATAAATCCCACACGTAAATGGAAAATACATATGCACATATTGAATTTTGATATGTGAAATATATGTACTTTTATTGGATTATTATTATCATTACTTGTATTAAATTACATATGTAACCTATGGGAAATTGGAAAATTTCATATATTAACATGTCTAGCTTTTTGTTTGCTTATATTTTAGATTTATGTTACATCGGTATTTATCCATCCCAAAGCCTGTCAATGAGAATCAGAAATTGATTAATAATTAATAAAGATATCGATAAGAATACATAATTTCTATATGTATATATGTGATATATGTACATATACAAATTGTACTATATGTATTTCATATGTGTTTTAAACTTATATCTTCATATATCCAGAGGATGTATATATGTGATGAGAATATATCCCCTTATATGTGACATAAAACATCATCGTTCTATAAAGGGACATATATATGTCATATATTACATTTCTTTATGGGATTTTAAGATTTTTTTTCTGTAACTTTGTTCCACAAAGTGAAGATAAAAGGGTTAAAATGAAATCTACATCACAATGTGTGTAAAAAGTGAAGGGGTCTGAAGTCTCTGGCTCATACCAGCACACAGCTGCTGTGGAAGTGCAGTGTCGACGTCCAATGTCACCTCCACAAATGTGTTTGGCCCGTAGACAATGGCAGGCGCTCCAAATGATTACAACCACTCTACCCACTCTAGGGCATTCAGCTTCGTTTTGAAGCATCTGACCTTTTTGGGGGAGGCTTATGTGATGATTTAAGTAGTGCCCTTGTCTGCACCTGAACCCCCCACCCCCCCACCACCACCACCACCACCACCACATTCACATGATTAACTCCAAGAGCTTTGCTTCCTGCTGCTCATAAAATATACAATGGCCATTACGCTGCTGAACCTCCAGATGCCTGGCCTAATATATTTAGGATAAAAAATGAATATGTGGTTGCAAATCATTGTCAATGATGTCTCCCAGCTGCTTTCTGTCACTGATGTGGAGAGGGAAGGAAGGAAGGAAGGAAGGAAGGAAGGAAGGAAGGAAGGAAGGAAGGAAGGAAGAAAGAAAGAACAGATGATAGGAGAAGACGTGATGAAGGTGTATGGGTAACTGTGAGTAGCGGGGAGTTTGTTCAGAACATCAGGGACTTGAAAGTGCTCTCCTCAGAGGGACTGGTAACTTTTGATGTCTGTGTGCTGTTTACCAGCTTCCCCACTGAGGAAGAAGAGAAGGCCATTAAACAATGTCCAACACAGGACCTCCGCTGGCGTACAACCAACTTCCTCTTGGCTCGGATCATCCCGACTACCAGAGACGTCTCTGTGCACCGCTTCTATCATGTGCTGAGGGGGATGTCTAAAAGCAAATAAAGAGAACAGACACCGGGTCACTCTCCTCCTCCAAAGGAACTGGAACATGGAACATTTTGAACAGATTAACCTTGTGTCTGAAGAGCTTCCTGTCAGCCCGCCTGTAGGCCAACCTGACACTGTCACACAGCCTGAAATCTGAGATGAAAATCTGGGGCAGAAAAAGTGCTGATAAAGCCGACCGCCGCACACACGGCAACAACCGCGGGGACACTATCAGCATTTTATCAACTCAGTGACAGCTGCACAGGAGGAGACGCCTCTATAGAGAGTAAAACCAAAACAGGACAGTAATAAGGTTTTGAAAACATGGATGAAGCATGTCGTCTGATTTTTTTATATCTCAGATCTGTTCAGCGATTTCCAGTAGGTCTGCCGTTCTTTTATTAAAGGTGAAATTAGTCTACAGCTGCATCCATGGAAAAAAACAGCAACAGGAAAACTGTCACAAAGCGGTGTCTGAGAGAGAGCAACAATGATTCTTCCTGACGCCAATGCAGGGAGCAGGAAGTACGGCTCTAGAAGTCCGGGTGGTGGATGTGTTGTCTTATTGCCATGCAGGATTTTAGACTTTGACTGACCCCAATGTTTATTATAAATGTCTATTCCCAAGTGATTGAGTCGCCCAACACTAACCTCATAGTTAACTGACATAACCCTGATTTTCTCTAACCTTGACTTGATTGTCCTCCTGTAAAAAAAAATTAAAAAAAATAAACGAGCCCGTAGGTCGTTTATTAAAGCAGGTGACTGTGACCCATAGTTACGTTTTGTTGCTAGGCGACATCTAGTGGTCGTAGTAGTGATGACGGGAGCAGCGGGCAAAAGTCCACGTCAGGAGGAGGTTGTGGTGGATGGATGAATTACGACACGGGAGAGCGGTGTTCGATTTCCCATGGGAGAGCAGCGGTTTATGTTGTTACCGTGACAACGAAGATCGTCTGATGTTGAGGAAGAACTAATTTTAACCCATAATCACGATCTTTTTTTCCCCCTAAACCTAACCAAGACCATGACCGTTATTATAGAAACCACGGCGACGAAGGCTGGTACGCCGGAGACAATACAGTCCGTGTGTTTATTATTGTAACCACGACAACAGCTATTTCAGGAGACACTCCAGAGGGTTTGAAAAAACGACCTGTGTGGTTGTTCAGGTTGGAGGACCACAAGCTCCCATCACTCCCCGGGTGAAATGACAGCGCTGGACGACTTCAAATAAAACAAGAGGAACAGAAAGTCAGAAAAGAAAGACGGCAGAGGAGAGGAGAAGAAAATCAAAAGAAGGAAAAGGAAAGCAATCCAAAAGAAAGGGGAGAGCACTAGATCGAGCAGGAAAGAGAAGATAAGGAAAGAAGAAGGAGAGAAGAGAAAAAGAGGAGGCGATAAGCAGAATAACACCTGAGATAAAATAAATGCAGTTCTCTCTCATCTCCTGTTTACTTTCATTATTAA